AAAAAAAAAAAAAATTACTCTATCTTATTATTACAAGAAAATCTTATTCAAAAGAGAAAATGAAAATTTACCTTTGCATAGTGTATTATTGTATTAGTCCATTTTTACACTGCTGATAAAGACATATCCATGACTCGACAATTTACAAAAGAAAGAGGTTTATTGGACTTACAAATTCCTCACGGCTATGGAGAACTCAAAATCATGGCCAATGGTAAAAGGCACATCTCACAGGGCAGCAGACAAGAGAAGATCTCTTGTTCAGGGAAACTCTAGTTTTTAAAATTATCAGATCTTGTGAGACTTATTTACTATCACAAGAACTGCGTAGGAGTGACCTGCCACCATGATTCAATTATCTCCCACAGGGACCCTCCAACAACAGGAAGGAATTATGGGAGCTACAAGATAAGTTTGGGTGCAGACAGAAAGCCAAATCATATTATTTCTAATTATTTATAATCTTGCCTTCCCAACAGTCCCCCAAAATCTTAACTCACTTCAGCATTAACTCAAAAGTCCACTGTCCAAAGTCTCATCTGAGATAGGGCAAGTCCCTTCCACTTAGGAGTCTATAAAATCAAAAGTAAGTTAGTTACTTCCTAGATACAATGAAGCCTATACCCCATTGGGTAAATACAGTGATTCCAAATGAGAGAAATTGCCCAAAAGCAAAGGGGCTCTAGGTTCCAGGCAAGTCTGAAATCCAGCAGGTCAGTCAAATCTTAAAGCTCCAAAATGATCTGCTTGATTCCATGTCTCACATCCAGGTCATACTGATGCAAGAGGCATAGTCTTGGGCAGCTCGGATTCTGTATCTTTGCAGGGTATAGCCTCCATCCCAGCTGCTTTCATGGACTGGCGTTTAGTGTCTGTGGCTTTTCCAGGCACACGGTGCAAGCTGTCAGTGGATCTACCATTCTGGAATGTGGAGGACAGTGGCCCTCTCTCATAGCCCCATTAGGCAGTGCCCCTGTAGAGACCCTGTGTGGGAGCTCCAACTCCACATTTTCCTTCTGCGCTGCCCTAGCGGAGGTTCTCCGTGAGAGCGCCACCCCTGGAGGCAACTTCTGCCTGGATATCCAGGCATTTCCATACATCCTCTAACACCTAGGAGGGAGGCTCCCAAACCCTAATTCTTCACTTCCGTGCACTGGCAGGTTCAACACCACGAGGAAGCTCCCAAGGCTTGAGGCTTGCACTGTCTGAAGCCGTGGCCTGAGCTCTAAACTGCCCTAGTTTTCATCCACTGGCTCCTCTTTCTTTCCATAGGTCAGCCGAACTGTGTTTCTGTTCCTTGTAAACAAAAGAATCTCAGCTGATACAGGCATTACAGTGGAACTGCGTCAAATGCAGCTAGCATGATGAAGTTTCAACTCTAAGGTTTCAGGGGTGAATGGGTGCGTTATTATTATAAAATAAGTCCATTACTCAGAGATTGAAACCCTCAATGCCCAAGTGAAACCTGTGGAAGAAAGTAAATGATCCGAGAATTGATAAAGAAGTGAAACACGTCGTTTATGCCGTCAGGCAAGTGCGTGGCCATGGCTCTCTCACCTTCTTCAGGAAGAAATCAAAAAATCAATTGAAGGCCTCAGGAAAACACTGGCTGATGGAGAGTTAGAGGGACTGAGGCAAGTCTTCTGCAGAATGTGACACACAAAATAACTCAGTAGGCCCTGGATCTAATTTATGAGTGACTTAGGGGAGGTTCCAGGGTGATTTTGTCCATCCATGTGATGAGGCTTGGATGTTTGTTTCTCCATATCTTATGTTGAAGTGTGACTTCCAATGTTGGAGGTGGGACCTCGTGAAAGGTACGGGATCACGGGGACAAATATCTCATGAATGGTACAGCACCATTTCCTAGGTGATGAGAGAGTTCTCAGTTCGCATGAGATCGGATTAAGAGTCTGGGCCCTCTGACCAGACCCTTCCTCCCTCTCTCAACATGTGACATGCTGGGTACCCTGGCCCCAAACAGGGCCAGCCACTTGCCATGTCCTCTCCCTCTCTGCTGTTATCAACACCATCTTCACCGTTCGGACAAAATCATGGAAATGTAACATCCTCCCCAAAGTTGGAAACGAACCACAAGACCAACGAATGACTTGAACAGCTCCAGCTTGACAAGTAGGTGAGTTTATTAGGGTTTACATACAGGGCACTCCTGGGCAGTAGCAAGAAAGCGCTGGAGATCCACGCTTTCTTCTGTCTCTAAACTGCTTTTAAGCCCCTATTCTGGCTCTTTGCCAACCATGTACGAGCGATGAGAATGTTCTTCTTGGTTGGTTCTCAGATACTCTTCAGGATGTTTGGTTTCTCACGTACACTAATTTCTCAGCTGGGGACCACGGCCTTGAACCCCACCTGGCCTTCAGGATTCAAGCAGGGGACATACCTTCAAGTAACGTGAAGGGACCTGTCACACTCCAACCAGCACTGCCACCATCATCATCAAGAAACCACTGCCAGACAAACCAGTAGGAGGGCAATGGAGAGTAGATGCTGGAAGGACAGGATGGGGGGACCATCACCAGGGAAAGACTTCATTCTTCGAGGACAGGATGGGGGGACCATCACCAGGGAAAGACTTCATTCTT